CCCGCAGCCCACCAGCGCCTCGGTGACCAGAGCACCTTGGCGCCGCCCTTCCAGCCCATGGGGGCCATCTACCTCCCCACCACGGCAGAAGCCCCTGACGACATCGACATGGAGACCACAGAGCTCATGAAGGAAGACAATGCCCTGTGATGCCAGCGCCCACCTCCCACCCCACCCATGGAGCCCGAGGACCCCGGCAGCCAGCACGGGGCCGAGCTGACGGAGCAGAAGGAGCTGGAGGAGCAGAAGGAGCTGGAGGAGCAGAAGGAGCTGGAGGAGCAGAAGGAGCTGGAGGAGCAGAAGGGTGCAAATGAATTAAAAAGGGGGTCCCCAACCCTCTTGGCGTGACGGGTGTGGAGGAAACACCTTTGTGCTTCTCCGCCACAGCCTCCCCCACACCATAGATGGAGGAAGTCCTCCCCTTTCTTGCCCATCCCAGGTACCAGAGCTGCACAGCACTCATCCCTCATCCCAAATCCTCAGCCATCCCGCCAGATGCACGGTGGGGCGGGCACACAGCCCCATGTTCCTCGCCCCATGCCCTCAAGCTGCAACCATCCCTTGGGGACTCAGCCGTGGGGAACCTTTCTGCGGAGGTTCACGGAGGCACGAGACGTGCTCCTGCTCGGCAGCTCGTGGTTCTCTGGGGGCACCCAGTGCCCACAAGCGTCCCGGCGCAGAGGGACCCCACTCCCGGCCTTGCCTCAGGGTCTGTCGGGCTGGCACACCGAAGGCTGTGCCCCAAAAGCACCTGGGATGGTGGGAGGGAGGCCAAGAGATCCAACAAGCAGAGGTCCCAACTGCAGGAAACGGCGTCTGCCGAGCCAAGTGGTGCCTTCTTTGCCAGAAGGAAAGCAGGTAACGTCATGCCCGGTCCGCTCTCCAGCTTTTTTGGGGATGAACGACATCCCAAAACTGGGCAAGGTGCGGAACCAAAGGTTTCTCCGCGTTTCCCATTTCTCCTTCTTCCTGCGATGCTTCGGAAGGGCTGGAAAGGAAGGTCTCAAAATTAGGAGCAAAATCAGAGTCAGGGCTGCTTGAGGTCCATCACGTTCAGAAATAAACTGAAAACCTTCAGTGCGAGCCCTCATGCTCCTCACCCCTGGTGAATCCGTGCCCTCGATCCCACCCAGGAGTGTCCAGGAGCTCACTAGGTGCTGGAGCAAACACAGAATCACGGAATGGTTTGGGTTGGAAGGGACCTGAAAGACCATCTAGTTCCAACCCCCCTGCCATGGGCAGGGACACCCTCCACTACACCAGGTTGCCCAAAGTCTCATCCAACCTGGCCTTGAACACTGCCAGGGATGGACTGGAAAAGCTGGGCTGCGCCAGCATGAGATCACCCCCACAGGTCACAGCTGAGGGGAGCAGCGGGTCTGTAGGGCTTCCAAGCAGCACAAAACGTGAAATAATTTCCTCCAGCAGTGAGGCCATCCCTTTCCGTGCCAACTACCAAACCGGTGTTGGCCGTAAGGCCATCACTTGGTGACCTCATCCATCGCTTGGTGATCACGCAACGCACGATCCCAGCCCATGAGAAAAGCCTTAATTCCAAGATGGGACATCAGTAGGAACAGCCACCATGGGGCCTGAACCACCGGGGATGGCCCTCTCCTCCCGTTTGAAATGCCTCCAGGATGCCAAAGGCTGGAGATGACAGAATCCCAGAATGGTTTGGGTTGGAAGGGACCTCAAAGATCATCTAGTTCCAACGCCCCCGCCATGGGCAGGGACATCTTCCACCACACCAGGGTGCTCAAAGATCCCACAGGGATGCCCATGGGTGGGATGCCCATCAAAGGTCTCAGCTTGTCCAACCACAGAGTCTATCTACCACCTACCTAGTGCCACCTGAGATGCCCCCAGTTCCTCCAGACACTCGGAGAGGGGCTGGCATAAAGGGCACGGGGACTCGAAGAGATGCAGGCTCTCCTGGAAAAGGAGCTGAAGGCCAACTGGGTACTCTGGATCATCTCTGGCAGTTGAGCACAATCCCACATCTCCACCAACCACTTGGAGCACTTGACTGGGCTGCTCCTACACTGGCATCACTGGAGGTGCCTTCAGGTGTAGGAGACACTCCCAGAAGCAAAAATGTGACATGGAAGGAACCTGGAGTGACATACGCAACACTGCCTAGGGCAGCCACCTCCTGCCATCAGCCGTCCTCCACATCTCATGTCCCCAGTTTTTCCCTCTTTTACGAGAAATGTCCCCCTCTGCTCAGCACCAGGAGTTGAGGAGAGGGTGGGTTTGCGTGGAATATGGCCCAAGGAGCGCGTGTCTCACCACGCCTCAGAGGGTGAAGGACCACCATCACCACAGGGAACCTGTTCCCAGGGCTGCAGGTGCCACCTCCCTTCCCCAGAGACACACGGACACAGCAGATCCCAGGATGGGAACCTGGTGAGACGCGTCCACCACTGTCTGGGCTACAGATGACAGATGTTCAGGGACAAGCTCAACCCCAAAGCCAAATCATAACTTGCAGCCAGGAACAGGATTTGGAAAAGGTCAGAGCTGCCCCAGTCCTGTCTCAAGGGCCAAACCGGGAGAAAGTTGGGAAGCTGTGGGGCAGGGGGGAAGACCAACATCACCAGGAAGCCCACAACCACCCTTGCAGGGAGATCCACCAGCTCGAATGCCAAACACAGCTTGCTGGCCCATCTAGCACCCGTCCGCAGGGCAGGGGCTTCGCTATGCCGAGCGAGATCCACTCCGTGCGTGGGATTTCATGGAATCATGGAATGGTTTGGGTTAGAAGGGACCTCAAAGATCATCCAGTTCGTTCCAACCCCACACCCTCCACTACACCAGGTTGCCCAAGATCTGATTTGGCCAGTCCCTCCTTACCACACCTGCTGGCAACACGTGCCAGGTGACCTCCTGCCCACAACGGAAGGATGTTAGGAGAAGGTGCTGGGTGGGAAGGAGGGAAGACCACCAAGGACTATTCCAGCACCCAAAGTCCACGTCAAGACCCAGCTGGACACAGACAGGAGCTGGAGGAGGCGCTGGGGCTGAGCCATCATTAAATAACCACCCTGTAATTAGTGTGCGGAGCACCGAGGAGCACACGCATCCCACCCCCCATTCCCGGCGCTTCCAGGGACAGTACGGAAAGGGGGGACAGGGTGGGACACGGGATCTCCAGGAGTCCGAGGGGTGGCACAAGGCCACCAGCACAGGCGAGGACAGGGCTCCCGTCTCGCCCTCGTGAGCAAAGCTCCACGTGCCACCCTGCGCTCAGCAGCCAACAAATCCAGGCTCCAGGGTAGCTCCAGAAGTGCCCATTCCCGGCGCTTCCAGGGACAGTACGGAAAGGGGGGACAGGGTGGGACACGGGATCTCCAGGAGTCCGAGGGGTGGCACAAGGCCACCAGCACAGGCGAGGACAGGGCTCCCGTCTCGCCCTCGTGAGCAAAGCTCCACGTGCCACCCTGCGCTCAGCAGCCAACAAATCCAGGCTCCAGGGTAGCTCCAGAAGTGGGAAAGGAGGAGGAGGAGGAGGAAAAGGAGGAGGAGGAAAAGGAAAAGGAGGAAAAGGAAAAGGAGGAAAAGTGGAAAGCCCCAGGCGCACTGGGAAAGAGCCTTGCAGCCCCGGGCACCGCTTGCTGAGGCTCCCACGAGCGTGTCCCTCGCTTCCGCTCCCTGCCAGCCCCGTCAGCACCCTGGGGCGGGAAAAAGGGAGTAATTAACCGGATCATTAGTAGCAGCACGAGATACGGACGGGACGCCGGAATCCCAAAAGGCTTCCCGGCGGGAAAGGGAGGTGCCTGCTCCTCGCTCTTCCCTGGGATCCTTTCTGCCACCCGTACTGTCGTTGCGTTCCCCTCCCGAAAAACCCGACGAGTCTGTCCCCTACCACGGGCTACGGCACACCCCGGCTCCCCGGGAGCCCCCGGCCCAGGCTGAGCCACGCTCGCTGGGATTACTGGGCAGGGGGATCTTGGGAAGACTTGGAGGGGGCGCCTCAGCCCTCCTCCCTGCAGGAGGACAAAGAAGAGGGCTCCTGCTTGCCCACTGGCGCATGCCACGAGTCACAGCACACCCGCCAGGAGCTGCCCAAGTGCTTGGGGAGGGTCCCGCCGGGATCGCCCTCCACGGAGCGCGGAGGAGAGCGCGGCACAGGTCCCGGTTCGGCGCAGGGAGCAGCACTACAGCTTTTGGGGGGGGTCACGCCGGTCCTCAGGCACACATACGGTGTCCCCCAGCTCCAGGCTGCTCCGCTGTCGGCGCCGCTTCCAGCCCAGTGGCGTGGTGGTCGCAGCTCATCCGTCGCGGTGGACGCGCTGGTGCTGCAGCAGGTTGGAGGGGTGGGCGAAGCCCTTGTCGCAGACGCTGCACTTGTAGGGGGTCTCGCCCGTGTGCACCTTCTCGTGCACGGCCAGGTAGGCCAGGTCCTTGAAGAACTTGTGGCAGAAGCTGCACTTGTAGGGCCGCTCCTGGCTGTGCACGCGGTGGTGCTGGAGCAGCAGCGAGGGCCGGGCGAAGGCTTTGCCACACGCCTCGCACTTGTACGGTCGCTCGCCCGTGTGTGCCCGCTGGTGGATCACCAGGTAGGACGACTGCTTGAAGGCTTTGCCGCAGGTCTGGCAGGAGAAGGGGCGCTCGCCGGTGTGCACGCGCTGGTGGGAGGAGAGGGCGTTGGACTGCTTGAAGCCCTTGCCGCAGAGCGGGCAGACGAAGGGGCGGTCGCCCGTGTGCACCCGCTCGTGCACCTTGAGGCTGTGCCCGTAGGTGAACTTCTTGCCGCAGACGCCGCAGACGTGGGGCTTGTCGTCGCAGTGCTGGCGCTGGTGGAGCAGGAGGGCGTTGGAGGTGGGGAAGTCCTTGCCGCAGTCGGCGCACT